GCGCGCAAGAGTGCTAGGAGTTGAACAGGGCAAGAGGCCCACCACGCGGCGCCGCCTGTTGTCGATGGTTTAATGAGTGAATAGAAATGTTGCTCTAGCCTGGGCAACAAAGTGAGACTCTGTCTCAAAAAAAAAAAAACAAGAAATAAATAGAAATTTCTCAGAGCAGTGCCTGGCACATTGTTCTTCGTAAGTGTTAGTCATCGTAGAATAACACAAAACATATTTGGTCTTTGTCCCCGGTTCTTGGCACAGAACTTATAAAATCCTTGGGATTTTCTGGGTGATAAGAGTGTCTTTTTTTATTCATAAGCCCCTTTCTATCTCACCTGAGTTTGCCCTAATAAGGTGACTTAGGTGGGGCCCCTAGATCCTGGGATAGGACTGGTCACTGGAAAGACCAAGCGACTAGAAGGTTTGAACTTTCAGAGCCACCTGCTGACCTCTGGAATGGGGCTGCTGAAGACTGAGCTCTGTGAATACTCTTGAGCATTGAGGTCCAGAGAGATTCTGGGCTGTGAACACATCCAAGTGCAGGGAGGGTGGCGCACCCCGACTCCACGGGGACAGAAACCCCTGAGCTTACAGCTCTTCCAGACCTTGCCCTGTGTACCCCTTTGTCTGGCTGTTCATTTGTCTCCTTTATAGTAAACCCCAACACATAAGTAAAGTGCCTTCCTGGGTTCTGTGAGCCATTCTAGCAAATCACCAAACCTGAGGAGGGGCTTGTGGGACCCCCAATTTATAGGCCCTTGGTCAGCAGTGTGGGAGGGTGGCCAGAGACTTGTGAGTGGCATCTGGATTAAGGGCAGTCTTGTGGGACGGGGCCCTTAACCTGTGGGGTCTAAGCTAGGTCCTGGTAGTTAGTGTCAGAATTGAACTGGACTGTTGGCCACCCAGCTGGTGTGAAGGGTCAGTTGGTATTAGAAAACATCCCAGAGGCTGTAATTAGTGAGCGTGTTCCGTGCTCTCACTTGAAAGAAGGGGAAATTATTAGGTTTAACATAGCTATCTTACGAGTGAACTTTCTCAGAAGCCGTCTGTGTTTTAACCCGCAGAGGGACTAACGCTGGGAGATTCATTCACTGACTAGCCCTGGTTTAGGGGGGAGGAAGGGGACTGGGACTTCTTAACACCCCATAAATCTCATCGCTTCAGCAGCACCTACTGTGGCTCTGTCTAGGGCTGACCATGATCCTGCCTTCGCACTCAGGAAGCGTGGGTTTGCTCTGAATCATCTCTGTCCTTTCTTTCTAGATCCTGCTTCATTTTGCCCACAGCCTTTCCCTGGTCCAGGGGTTAGTCATCCTTCATGGTGACTATTCCAAGTCCCTCCTGATGTCATCCCCTGCTACCCCCCCCCACCAAACTTCTTACCAGAGATGTTTCTATCTGTTTCTATGATTGGGTTGCTTCCTCCCTTAGAACCTTGACTTTCAGCCCCACGCGCGGTGGTGGCTCACACCTGTCATCCTAGCACTCTGGGAGGCCGAGGCAGGAGGATTGTTTGAGGTCAGGAGCTCCAGACGAGCCTGAGCAAGAGCGAGACCCCGTCTCTACTAAAATAAATAGAACCCTCCTTGACTTCCGAGGGGTAAAGAGGGCACAAGAGATGCTGGACCCTGAAGCCAGGAAAAGGGAATGATGGCTGTACCATCATTCATTCACCATGCATTTGCCGATTCCTGCCAAGACCTAAGCCCTGTAGCATATAGAGATAATTCACAGATAGTCACCATCCTCTTAGAACTCAGTCCATTGGAGGAGACAAAGTCATACAAGTACAGCAAATCCTACTGAAAGCTATCCACAGAAGTAACACAGGCTGCGTGTGAGCCTAAAGGAGAGCCACCTCCCCCAGGTTGCAGTGTCAAGGAAGGCCTCCCCGGGGAGTGACAGCTGAGCTGAGATTTGAAAGATGAATGGGAGTTCTGCAGGCTGCGAATTTGGATGGGAAATGCATTCCAGTCAGAAATCACAGCATGCCGGAAGCCTGGAAGTGTGAGACAGCATGGTGCGTGCATGAATTCTTCCCCCTAGGACTTGAGCCCAGTGGGAATGACCCAGGGGCAGAGGTTAGTTCTGCTGAGGCCAGACAGGACATCCCTGGTCTCATAGGACAGACTTTCTACTAAGTCAGCCTGGCCTTGGAACAGGATGTTACCGGCATGACGTGACATAGTCAAGAGCCTCGCAGGACTGGTCACAGCCCCAGCAGAATCCACTGTTGTTACAAGGATTACGTGAGGTAATGTATGTCGAGAGCCTGGCTCAGAGTAAGCACTCAGTACCTGGTGGCTATTATTATTGTATTGTCATTGAATTGCATTGTTAGCTCTGCAGAGGGAACTGGCAGAGATTCTACCCAGAAAGAGGCCCTGCAGGGGGTCTGTTAGTGAACGTTACATCTGGGCTGAGCCTTATTCTTTTGTGGGAAATGGACTCTCCGGAGAATCTGATGAAAGCTGCGGACCCTCTTCCCAGAAAAAGGCACATCTGCTCACACGACACTTTGCATATTATTTTGGGGACTTCACAGGCTCCTGCAAGCCTGTCTAGTCATGGAACTTGGTTGGACACAGCTGTTATATGCCAAGCATGGCTGAGAAAAGTTCCCACTGTTACCTCAGTTTATTATTCCAAGTGTAAACTTCAGCACATGGAGGATATTCAACTCTGAAAATATCCTGTGTGTTTTAAAATACAAAGAGGCATTCTGAGTCAATGGGTGGAGGAGGGAGACCTGTGAAGAGACCATCTTGATAGTCCAGGGAGAAGACATGGCTGGCTTCGCAGGCACGGGACCTCTGCAGGCACGCGGGGCTCTCTGTGTTCCTAGCTTAATGCTCCGCTATGTTGCCATCTTGAAGAAATTCTTTATTTTTAACAGGGAGACTTGCCTTTTCCTTTTGCACTGGGCGCCACAAATTACGTAGCCAGTCCTGGAAGAAGATAATGATGCATTTGAGTGCTTACTATGTGAGCAACAAACACGTGACAATGTTGGAATTAGAACCCAGGTTGTTGGATCCAGAACTGTGAGTTTTAACCTACATTATATCATACATCAAGCGGGCTAGTGAGAGTGGAGAGGAAGGAAAAGAACAAGGAACCTCTGTGTCTCCCACCAGGACACTCTTCATGCCTCTGCCTCCCCTCCTCTCCTATTGTTCTCTGTACCAATGTCCTTTCCTCAAGGGGGCATGTCCTGGTCTCCAAACCTATATTATGACCCCTTTATTCTCTCTTTTACTCTTTTTTTTTGAGCCAGAGTCTCACTCTGTTACCCAGGCTGGATGCCGTGGCGTCAGCCTAGCTCACAGCAACCTCAAACTCCTGGGCTCAAGCGATCCTCCTGCCTCAGCCTCCCGAGTAGCTGGGACTACAGGCATGTGCCATTATGCCCGGCTAATTTTTTCTATATATATTAGTTGGCCAATTAATTTCTTTCTATTTTTAGTAGAGACAGGGTCTCACTCAGCTTGTTTCAAATTCCTGACCTCAAGCAATCCGCCCATGCCCATCTCGGCCTCCCAGAGTGCTAGGATTATGGGAGTGAGCCACCTCCCCTGGCCTCTTTTACTCTTTATTATCTTTTAAAGTACTCTTAAGAACTTTTATTATGTGCTTATTTGTATGTTTACTTGTTTTAATGACAATCCCTCTCTAGACTGTGTGCCCAGTGAGGGCAGAGACTTCATTCTCTTATTCCAGCGGAGAACCTGGAACATGGTAGGTGTTTCATAAATATTAGTTGGAAAGTACAGTTTACTGAATTTAATGACAGACCAGTTGTCATTGCAGGGAAGCCTGGGGAATGACCTAGGGATTTCCACTTGGGCGATGCTAATTGCCAAGGTGGGTATAGGAGGTCAGGAGTGTGGGGAAGACTAAACAGATTTGGCATGTGTCCAGTTCCAGAGTTTTCCAGTGGCTTGTAAAAGTAGTCTTCTGCTGGCAAAACTTTTCTGACTGCCTCCCCACTGCAGCCCAGTTTAGGGGCTGCCCACAGTCCCCTGGGCAGACGCTGCCATCATCCATCTCCCAGCATGCTCTTGGGAGCCTTCTGTTCCCCCGGACTGTGAAACTCCATGGATCTGGAACAGTGCTGCCTGTCTCCTCTCTGGCTCCCAGGGCCCTGGGGAGTGTGTATGCACTCAGGGCTCCACAAATGCCAGTAGAAGGAAAGAGGGAAGGAGGAAAATGTGGCCACTCAGGAGGGAGGCTGGGCTGAGAGCAGATCTGGGAATGGAATTGCAAAGGGAGGTCCAGGTTGGAACCCTGGGGCCCTGGAGACAGGTGGACCAAGGACTGCTCCAGCACCCCAGCAGGCCAGGCACAGGGTTAAGTGCTAAATTCGCAGGACTGCATCTCATCTTCGCCGCAACACTAAGGAGGCACTATTGTTCCTACCCTGTTCACGAGAAAACTGAGGCCCAGAGAGGTGACGCGATTCGCCCAAGGTCACACAGCAAGTGAGCAGCGAAGTCGGGATTTGTCCCAGGGCTGGCAGCTCCAAGCCGGCACTCTTCCCACCGCACTCCCTGCCTGTCCTCCACCCTCCACCTCCTCACCCCTTCTCCCCTCCCCTCCCGTGACTGCCCCGCCCCAGCCCTCCTCTCCCCTCCCCTCCCTGCTCTCGGTGGCGGCCGCGGAGCCACGTGGTGGGGCCGGGGAGCTGCGGCGGCCGAGCGCCCGGGCGGCTGCCCCAACTGGGCAGAGCTGCTGTGCGCCGCGCCGCGCTCGGAGCCTGCGCTCCCGCCCGCGCTCCCCGCCGGCCGCCCCGGGGCAGGAGGCGCGCCTGTCGGCCGGCCCGCCAGACAAAGGAGGCGCGGCGCTGCGAGCCAGCGCGGCGCACGGACCATGGACTCGGAGCGCGGGCGGCCGGCCCCAGCCCTGGGGACCCGACGCTCCCGGGCCCGGCCCTAGGCGCCCGGCCCCGCCGCCCGGGACGCCCAGCGGGGAGGACGCGGAGCCCGCGCGGCGCGGAGGAGGCGGCGGCCGCCGAGCCAGGGGTCGCCGCGGCGGGCTGCCCCTGCGGCCCCCGGAGCCATGGGCAAGTGCAGCGGGCGCTGCACGCTTGTCGCCTTCTGCTGCCTGCAGCTGGTGAGCGCCGCGCGCCCGGCGGTCGGGGCAGGGTGGGGCGCGCGGGGCGCGGTCGCGGGGCGTGCGGGTGGGGCGTGTGTCCCCGCGTGTGTGTCTGGCGCGAGTGCCCGGGTGGGGGGTGGCCTGGAGTCTCGGAGCGGACGGGCGGAGCCTCCTGCTGGCCGGGCTGTCTCTTTGTGTGCGCTTCTCCCCGCTGTGCCCGGCGCTCCCCAGGTCCCCGCGTGCGTCCTGTGCGCGAGTCCCCTGCCCGCCGGGCGCCTGGGGCTCCACGCGTCCTGCTCACACTGTGCGAGTGGCCCCTTGTCGCGGGATGCGCCGTGGGACTGTGGCTCTCTGGGACTGGGGGTGTGTCTGGGGCCGATCTGTGGATCCACTGAGGTCCCTGCCGTGGGTTTCTCTCTAGATCGCTCGGCTGCTTGGGTCTCTGGTCTCCGCCCCTATGTGAGTGTTGCTCACAGTCTCTGCTCCTGTGTATGTCTTTCTGGGTTTCTCTTTGGCGTGTCTCTAGATCTCTGACCATTTCTGGTCCGTGTTCATCCGTGTGTGCTGGGGTCTAAGACTCCAAAACCCTTGGACCCTCCTTTGTGCTGTTCCTCCCTCCCCCCGCCCTCCCGAGTAACTGGGCATTCCTGGGGATGGAGCCACTTCCCTGGAGATGGCCACAAGGAGCTGCCAGGTCCTGGGCCAGCCTGGACCACCCTCCAGCTTTGGTCTGGCCCCTGTGGCTGTGAGTGTTCCATCAGTCATGAGGTCCACCAGAGCAACTCCTCTGCCAGGGCTGGCACCAGTGTGTGTGGGGGGTCTGTGGGTGCCCTGGGGAGGGTCAGTACATCTGAGGACACTGTGCCTACCTAGCTCCAGCATAGGGAACGGGGGTCCTTGCCTCAGGGAGGCCAGAGACATGAATTTGGAAATTGAGGGGAGACAGCTCTGCCCTTCAAGTCAGGCCCAGCAATTACACTCATTCCGGAGGGTGGTTAAGGAGAGGCGGGGTTCTCCTGCCAGCCTGCCCGGGGAGCCGAGCCCAGCACTAGGGGCTGAAGCTGTGCTCCTCCTCCGCTAGGCAGAGGTGCATGGGGAACTCCGTGGTAGGACCCAGGCCTGCGTGTGAGCTGGGGCAGCCTGAGCCTCGCTCTCGCTGGACCCCTGGCCCTGGGTCTCCACTCCTGGCTGCATCCGTGCGTCTTCCCGGCCATGGGTGCCACCAGTAATGTAGAGTGAAGCTTTGAGCCTGGATGTCGGGACCTCCTCATTCATAGTGCGTCTGTCCTCTCGGGGAAGACACCCCAGCTCCTAACATGCCATCCACAGACTTATCTTCCTGGGCAGTGGTAAAAATAGCCCCAGCTCTGAAGATTGTAGCCTTGCTCCCAGCTGTAGGGACTGGGCAAGTGACTTCCCCTCACTGGGCCACCTCATCCTGCTTGTCTGTAAAATGTTCCTCCCTGAGCACTGCAGAGGGGATCAGTTAAGATCAGGTAGAATGGAGACTCCAGAAGGGTGGAGATTGTCTGTTTTGTTCCCCGCTGAATCCCCAGCAGCTGAAACAGTGCCTGGCACTCCATTAATATTTGTAAAATAAATGAGTGAATCAGTTATGTGGCACCTCCTGGCTCACAGTGGCAACACCCTTCTTTATCTACTCGGAGGAATGTGAAATGCCAGGAAATGTGGAAAGCTTTCAGAGAATTCTTTTTCTGTGTTTGTTAATTTTTAAATTTTAAACTAGGTTTTTTTAAATTAGAAAAGTAATATAATGCTTGATTTTGCTGAAAGAAAAAAGAGGAGAAAAAGAGAATACTTTTTCTATTTAAAAAAAGGAAAAAAGAAAAGTAATATACATATAATATAAAAATGGATAAATCAATCAGTAAATAGGGCAGAAGATAAAAAGTTAGTTTTCTTCCCTCTCTGCCCAGTCCCCTCCCATTGTTAACCGTTTAACACTTCCTGTTGATGATAATATAAGATGGTTAGCTTTGGAGAGCCCTGAAGGAGGTGCCAGGTTCTCTTGTAATTTCGTGTATTAACTAATTTAATCCTCCTAACGACCGACCGTGTGAAGTACTTGCCCAGAGTTCTGTAGGAACTAGGATGCAGGCTTCGAATCCAGGCAGCTGAGCAGCCTGCCCTGTTGCCTTCTTAGTTATAAAATAAGTAGTTCTGGCCCTGGTAAGCCTGGGGCCCTTGGGAGGTGCTCGCGGCCCTATGGAGAAAGGAAGGTGATAGAGGCAGCCTCCCTGCTACCTCTTCCTGCCTCCACAGCTCCCCCGAGCTGAGCTAAACCCACTCTTCCACTTACAGGATCTCACCAGCACCCCCCTCCTAGCTGCGTGGTTTTGGGCAGCTTGTGAGGGTTGCATGAGATCATTTGCGAGGTGCTCCGGGGAGGGACTTGAAAACTGGTCCCTTGGCTGTGTTGCTCTGTCTGGGCCGATAGCACAGTGGGTCCCTCCAGCTGTCACCAATCCCCAGGAGCCCCTGCTACCTGGCAGCTGCCATAATGTGTTCCCTGGTGCTGGAATTCACCAGCCTGAGGGGAGAAGGCTGTTAAATGCCTTGCAGCTGAAAACCTAAGAGGGGGAACTGTGTTGTTTTCCTTTTTCAAGTGGAGTTTAATCAAACAATGAGGCAGGTCAGTTCTAAACACTTTTCTATAGTTGAGACCGACTTGGGTAGAGTTGCTTTGGGTGAGGGAGTGGGGTGTTAGGGTGTTATAGGGGTGAGGGGAAGCGGGTAGGGACTGTGCCTTTCAGGCGGACAGGTGTAGGATAGTAATTAAGGCTGTGGAGTTTGACAGGACAGACCTGGGTTCCATTCCTGGCTTTGTCACTTCCTGGCTGTGTGATCTTGGGCAAGTTGCTTACCCTCTCTGAGCCACAGTTTTGCCCTCTGTTAAATAAAGAAAATATAAACAGTTTCTAATTCTTAGGGTTGTTGTGAGTATTTAACCTATGTAATGTATTTAGCATTATGTCAGGTACAGAGTGAGTACTCAATAACTATAGCTTTTCATCATATTAATGATTCATATTATGGGGTGCTTCCCTACAATTGTTGCCCAAACATATCCAGGTACCCCCTGCATTGTCCTTTGTGGGAAGCAGCAGGTAGTTGGGCACTGAGCTGAGAGGCAGGAGGCCAGGATACAAACCCAGCTCTGCCACTAACATCCTGCAAATTTGGGCAAGTCTCTTCCCCATTCTAACCCTTGGTTTTTCCATGTGTAAAATGGGAAGAACCATTGGTCTGGCTCAGTAGGATCCTGCCAGCTCTGCCTGTCTGGGATGCAAGGAGGATGTCTGGGCTGGCATGGAGGTTTTGTTGCATCTTGGTCTGGTTCTGTTCTATCGAATTTGTCGGGTCCCTTGTTTTCCCGGATTCTGTGTGGTGTATCATCTCGACAGCATTATTAACACTGTCCACTCTGATTTTTATTCCTTTGCCTTTTTCCTCTTCCATCCAAACCCTGCCCTTCCTTCCTAGCCCTCCTGTCTCCTGAAACCTTACAGGCCAATCTGTTCTTCCCAGAAGGGGGATGGACCAAGGAGATTTGCCCTCGGGAATCATCATCAATTTCTTCATCATCATCATCATCATCATCATCGCTCCGGTCTAGGAGTCCCGTGCTAAGCACTTTATACGCATTACCTCATTTAACCAAATGAGCATGCATGTGTCAAGTCCTTGGCAAAGTGCCTGGTACATGTTAAACGATCTATAAACGTTAGTTATTTTGCTGTTTTCTTAATATTGTAATTCCACACAATGGGATAAATGTGTTTATTTTCCCCTTTTTCCGACGAGGAAATCGAGGCTCTGCGGGGTGGTGAGGTTTGCGGAGCTCACTAAGCTGGCCAGTTTCAGAACCAGGATGTGAGTGCTGTTCTGCCTGCAGAGCCACCGTCTCAGCCCTGTGCCACTCTGCCGCCCACATTTAATCCAGGTGTGGCCTCAGCCAGGCCCAAGCCTCAGTTTCCTCCTATGAAAATGGTAATATTTCAATAGGCTTGCGCATAGTCCCTGGCTCACAGAGCACTCAGTCATCTATCACTGCCACGCTGCCCGTGTCCCGGCCCTGTGTGACCTTGGACACATGCGTTCACTCCTCACCCCAGTTTCTTCCCTTGTGAAAGAGGAAAAGTCAGCCCTACCTCGCAGTCACAGAACGGGTTTCCTTAGCCAGGTGCCAGGCACATAGTAGGTACTCAGGCAGACATTGGTTTCATTTTTCCCCTTCTAGAAAGCTCTTTGCCTTCCGGAAGGTGGTGGGTGAGGGGGAAAATATGTAGCTTCCAGCTGAGCTGCGAGTAATGGTGTGAAACGTGGTCACCCTGATTGATGTCGTTATTAGCAATAGTGATGGCGAGACCAGAGGGAGATGGGCTCGGGCCTGCGCTCTGAAGCTGCTGCCTCTGCCAGCTCGCGGCTCCTCCGCTCGGGGGGCTTGAGCCCTGGGGCCAGGCTTCGCAGCCTGGAGCATGACATCTTCCAGGCCACCAGCCTCTTTTGTTCCTCATCTGCCTTTGGACGGGATGGGGCTGGGGTGATCAACTCCCTCCTGCAGATGGACAGACTGAGGCCTCATGGCCCCCAAGGCCCTTAGCGGGTGGGCGGAGCAGGTGGAGTGGAGAAGGGGGCCTCCAGGAGACTGGGCAGTGGCCCCAGTTCTGCTCCTTTGTAGGTGGGTGTGTGGCGGGTTTTAAATAAGCCCCCATAAATAGCAGCTGCTCTGAGATCTGGCGCAGGGGTTGTTAAGAGCACTACCTCTGGAATCAGGTGGACATTGCTGCCTTGCTGTGTGACTCCCAGAAAGTTCCTCACCCTCTCTGAGCCTCTGCTGCACTTATAAAATATTCCGAATGACAGCTCCCACCCCGAGGCAGTTTGGGCGATTCCCTGAGCTGATGCTTGGACTGCACCAATGCAGTGCCCGGCCCTGGGAGGTGCTCTCTGTGGCTCGCTGTTATTAGTCGCCTCAGCCCCATCTCTGCCTAGAG